AAATAAATTAAAATGTAAAACCATATAAAAAAACTAATAAAAATGACACGAACCCAAAATAAAAATAAAAAAAACCTTTCAATAAAATTAAAGCAGAAACACTAATTTCTTCCTTCCAGTCAACTTTGCATTTAATATGCTTTGATACAGCCACACCTTTCAGTAACGACCTTCTGTGACTTACCCTCTTTGTGGATGGAGGGTGTCAATGATTGTCTTCTGGACCATTGCCAAGTCAGCAGTCGTCCTCATTATTGTGGTTTCAAAGAACAAAAGATACCCGGAATTTATACTGTAGGGATGGTAATTTAATGAAACTCAAATGTAAATATTCTAATATTTTGAGATACTGGATTTTTGACTTTCAGGAACAGTAAGCTCTAACCATCAAAATTAAACCAAAAAAAAAAAAAATGTTTGAAATGTTTTACTTTACATGCAATGAATCTTGAATATATGAAAGTTTCACTTTTTGAAATAAGTTACAAAAAATTAACTTTTTCACGATATTCTAATTTTTTTAGATGAACCTGTCCTGTATATATACTGTATATATATATCCCTTATGCTGCGTTCACACCAAACGCGAATAGAGCGTCTGGCGCGAATGATTTCAATGTTAAGTCAATGTAAAGACGCGTTTACGCGCGTCTGGAGGTCTCGCGGCGCGAATGAGGCGTTTAGCGCGGCGCGGAAGACGCGAATTCGCCTCATTCGCGCGTCTATTTGACGCCCTATTATATACTGTATATAACGCACCCTTACAGAGCTTGTGTTGGAATAATTTTAAAATCATCCACTAGGTGGCAGGCCCAACAACATTGCAAATTTGGTAAGTGGGGTCTGAGGAACCTTTTCTTGAGGACAAATGCAGGGGTCCACTAAGATCCCAGCCTACTCATTGGGCCCGGTTGAAGGGTCCCCTCTTAAAAATTCCCAGGCCTATAGAAATACACTACTGGCTTTTGATCTATGCATACAGAACATTTGCATATTGTGTACAGTACATATAGTCTCCAAACTATATATTGTATGCTCTTTTGAGTATAGCCTTTGAAGTTAGACTGTCTGAATTTAATAAGACATAATGGCACATACTGACCGACACAGAAGTATGGAGCCTTGTGCTGGGTTTTAGCGGACATCCTAGTGAGAGAGCCGTCTCGGAGGAAGCTGTTTAATTCTGCCTGAGTGTGGAAGTTGGATTGTTTATTATTCTGGGATAAACACAGTCTGAGCTTCCCATTTCCTGGTTTTGTCCGGGCTGCTGTGGTAGATCACTGTGGAGCTTGGGAAGTTTATTTCTAGTCAGAGCTGACTCAGCTGACCTGAAATAGAATTATGATGAATAGAAAGAAAAAGAACATAATTTATTTGAATTTTGCATCCTACATGTCTATTCTTACATGTGCTTCTGTTGTTTCTCTCACAGGAACCTTCCAACCATAATGACGTGGGTGGAGGCACAAAAGCCAGGAGTAGATGGGGTCAATATCATCACTTCAGACTTTGTAGAACTTGTGGACTTCGCAAACACTGTCATTAAATTAAATAACCTCCTCATTCAGGATCGGCCAGGCACATGATCTTTTCTGTGACCACCATGAAGACTGAAAGTGTGCTGACCATAAGGACCTGGAATCACATGGGGTTCACAGCAGGTGACGGATACCTATGACCATTTTTTTATATTTAATTCAACAGAACTTCAGGTGCCATCAATCTGATACCCATGTTCACTGAAACTCAAATGTTGTTTTTATTCTTTTCAACAACTGTTGTTCACCTACAGTTCATGTATTGAAGGAAACTATTGTAATTATTCATGATTAATTATAATATTTTAGAACATATTTTAAGAATTGTTAAATGTTTATTCTTTATCACAATATCAGAGCAAGAACAAACAGGGTCATTGATTTTTTTGTTGCATCATGAAAAAGAAAGTTTCCCATATTTTATATAATATCTCAGCACATTAAAAATGTTTAGCAATGGCTCATATGTATACCTGATGTGATCAACAGTTTCTGGTCTTTATTTGTGTTTGGAAGATGTGGGTCTCGGTCATGGTAGGAACCTTATTTTGATAGCTGGTGCAATACAACAATAAACAGTTTTTCTATTTTCCATCGCAAAATCAAGTGTAATCAAATGTATTTTTTTTTCTCTAAATCTCAGCTTACTTTATTGCTCTTCAGTATTTAAAAAAAAAATGTCCTTACCAGTATTCACAGAAACAATGTGAGTGTCTGAACATCAAGGGAACTTCAGAGCGCAAGATCTTCCACACCTGCAATTCCTTGTGACCATGTCCACATTCCAGTGTTTTCTGTGGTCTCTGGGATGGGAAAGCCATCAGATAATGATCAGGAGCATGTGAATGAGTCCACACAGAGCATTTGAATCCAAAAAAGAAACAATTACGTGCTCAAAGCATGAAGGTATTTAGGAAGAGAGAAAGAAAATAGAGACAGATCTAATCAGCACAGCTGCTCTCTTTCTCTTTGGCTTTAAAATCACAGTTTTTGTTCACCGCCGTTATCGTAAAGGGAATGTTTCCCCTTCAGTTTTTCAGTTTGGATATTGATAGTGAATTTCAAATTAGAAATGCAGCCAAATTTTGAATCAGAAGACATCATAGGGTCCAAAAGTATATTGCAAAAGCTCTATGCATTCACATTTTTCTCATTTATTTTTTCATTTCATCATAAATTATAAGCATAACAATGTGAGTGAAAAGTTACATTGAAAGTCTCTGAAACCCATACATTTCTGAAAAATCTGATGATCATGTTCTCCAGCTTGATTTGAGATAATCTAATGAGCTTCAACAGAAGCAAGAACATCTGACTGTCTGTACAAAGGAGTCACATGCATGACGTCACACATTTGCTAATTTGATTAGTGACCTAGAAATAATGCAAAATATTAAATAATTCTTATTAATTTTTCATAATCATGTTACTGTGTTTTAAAGGTTCCAAAATCCTGAAAATGCCCATGTTTAACCCTTGTGCTGTGCTTTATTTGGTGTTCTGGTCAAAAACGATTGCTTGTAAATCTCTCATTATGCTATATTATCACCAAATCTTGGATTCAATCTTTTAATCAACTTGTGTTCTTTCAAACTGTACAGGATTTATATTTCTTTTTGGAATGGGTTGATCACAGGCCTCATTGATCTGAGCTTATACACCTCACTTTAGGAGTGAAAAAAGCATTATTTGTGGATAATTTTGGCTCAGAAGGTGCGTCAACTCAGATCAATGAGGCCTATGATCAATCAGTTCCAAAAATTAGTGGAATTTTAGTGGTCAGACGTTTGGACTTTATATCAGTGATTTGACATGTAACACCAAGCCTTAAAAAACATCTTGCCAAATTTTTGAGAAGCTCAAGACATAGAGACCTGGCCAGCTGCATTTTGAAACTATGACATTCCTTGTTCTTTCCATGAAAGTGTGCACCAGTGGTCTTTATAAGACCTTAACAAACAAAATTCCTTCACTCCATCCTTTCTTTCACACTCTCGCCTCTCCTTTTGTTCACTCCCACTATTTATTTCATTCCAGGTCCTGAAAGAATGTCAGGGGTTGTGTTTTTTTTTTCATGTTGGCAGCAATGCTACTTATATAAAGGGACACTAACTGCAGTGTAATTACACGCCGCTGTGGCCTTGTGGGTACAGTGGACTTCTTCCAGTGTTTTTTTGTAACTGGCTTAACGCTCGTAGCTTCTGTCTCTTTGTTTGAGGGTTCTGCTGGGTTCTCCTGGTCTCCAGGGTGAAGGGAGGCTGTATGGGGAACACAGGCCATCTGTGAACTGACCAAAGATCATCCAGCTCTCCATTCCCTCTGTTTGTCCAGCTCATTTAGGAACTATAACAAGTAATGACGCATTTTGATGGCATTTTAGGCAAACATACATGCACAGCGCAGGTGATCCCAAGCTCTTTTGTTTTTAGAAATAACAGCATCAGTTACACTATTGAATTATTTATTTGGTAAATGGCATTCATCTTGTTTCGGAGATAAAGAAAACTGGAGGAGCGTGCACTGGAGCATCCTGTTTACCAAAAGATTTCAGCCGCACTTGACCTCAAATCACAAACTGGATGTTGGGTGTGAACGGCGGTGGGTGTGAATTTATGACACACGTTGTAGACTGTGTATGTTAAATAAACAAATGTTTCACTGTGTATATTTTTAGTTGACAGCTTAATTAGTGAGAGGAGGAAATCCTCTTTTTGGTATTTGATATATTCAAAAATAAAAATTCAAGAATTGGCCAAGTAAACTCGCAAGAAAAGTTAGTGTTTTTTTTTAAAGAAAACAAGCAATTAGTAAATTAATAGAGTGCAAGTCTAAAAGGGGCAAGTTTTTTTTAAAGAATAGAATTAGAATAGAGAGTGCTAGCGATAGATGGACAAATAAAGATGGAAGAATTGCATTATACATTCATATTATACAAACTATTAAACAATAATATACTCACAATTCCCTTGATGCAGGATAAGGATGAAGGTGAGGAATGACACTGCAAGAGACTAAAAGAAATAAATAAGTAATAAGTGATAAATAAATGCATGCTTTGCTCACAGCAAAGCAGAAAATATGACATAAGCCATAAAAATGACACATAACAAATAAACCTAGAAATATATAATTAATATATATTATATTATATAATTATAATATATATTATATATTAATAATTATATATATATACGTTTTATGTACTTCTAGGCTATACAACATTTTGATAAAATAAAGTGAAGATGAAATATTGTGTAACATTCTATCAATATTTCTGGTTAATTTCAAACTGTTGCTTTTAAAAACTAAAGGCGGGTGAATGTTTTGACCCATGTCACAAGAACCAGTGAGCTGTCAATGCTGGCTGAACTGCACGCGCGGCTAACTCCAGTGCGCATGCGCACTTCAGCGCACGGTCTAGTTCCAGCTGTTGCGCATTCCACAGCACAGCGGAGTCGCCGCTGGCCAAGAGCGACAGGACAGCGCCTTGAAGTCACCAAAGAGCCACGGGACTTGCTTCATTTCTGTGAAAAATAATTATTTGTAACAGAGTCCTTGTTTTCAGATTTATCAATAACGTTCGGCGGAGCTTTTGGAGTTTACAAAGAAAGGGAAATATTGAATAGGCTTGATCTTCATTTGGAAGCGCACAGGATATTTGCGGAAGAGCGCTATACGCACCTTCAGTATAAGTGTCTTTGGAGCTGCCATTCAAGATGACAGACATCGTTTCAGCAATGGTGAGACTTTTTCCCGTTTTACACAAAAAATAGTCCTTAAAATAAAACTTTAGCTATTTAATAGAAAGCTGTTCTTTTAGTAACTCGGAATAAGCGCACGGTGTCTCTGACTATATATATATACACTATATATATACAAACTGGGTAAATCTTTAATTAGGGATATTTAGTTAAAATACTGGAAGATCAATATCTTTCAATCTATATGATTTATATGGTACTATATTTCTACACATACGGCATATGGGATAGTGTGGGTTTTTAATATTCCATGTGATGATAATGACATTTTCATCAAGCTGGACTCACTAACACAAAACTTATAAAAACAAGTATTAGATTTCTCAATTAAAAATCACAAATGCTGATTAGTTTGGTTATGACACCTGAAATTCCTCTTTTTCTATCATAATGTAAAAACTTTCAGTCTTCTCAAAGAAAAACTAAACAAACAAATGATTCATGTAAATACAAAATGAACTGAAATCATGTTCTTTTTAAAAGTGTCCCTAATTGTTAGCTTGTCTAATGTTTTGTAAGCTAAATACTGATAAATATGATTGATAAGGTTTATTTTGGCTGCAGTATTTATTTAACTTAATCTATGATCAACTCTTGGCACAAGTCATGGCATGGGTCTAGATGTGTTTTGTCTGTTGAATTCATCATGGGCACTGAATCATGACTCTGAACTGAGAGATAGGCATCATACAGTAAACATCAAACACCAGAGACAATGAAATAGCCCATTTTTAAAACAATCTGAAAGCAAACAGGTAAGGAACTAGTGTTGTGAGGTACCTGATTGAACATAGAATAATCAAACTGAACCAAACAAATGATTTGAAGTTCATATTGTGTTTTTTTTTGTGCATTGTTTTTGTTTTATTTGACTTAAATGACCCATCTGTGCACAAACAACAGCATTAGAACCCTCAAACCAGATGTTTTGGTTGTAAAGTAACAGTCTATGACACTCAGAGCACAATTGTTATAGTTACATGCATAAGAGCAGCAATTATTTCATGAGTCAGTGTGAGGGGATGAAAAGAAATAAACATGTTGTGGACAGACACAGAGAGGGATGCTAGAAGCTATAAGTGAAAAACATGCTATAGTTGTGAAAACAGTGGACATGCCACTCAACACACAATTGGTTTTAGGTCTGTTAAGCTGACGGTTGTTGATGGTTCAGATGTTACAAAGACAGTAATCACTTGTGCTGAGTGACGATTCTGGCAATCAGTATAACCATGGCAGCAAGAAAAAAACATCTGCATGAGGTTTGTTTGCATTCAAAAACACCTCAAAGTTAGGTGATTTACTGTGGACCAAACATACACTCTTGGTTACATATGGGGGTTTTCACAGTGATGCCATATAAGAACCATTGTGAGTTCCCCAAAGAGTACGCAGTTTTGAAAATAATTCTTTGTGTTCTTAGTGTGAAGAACATTTAAAAATCTAAGAACCTTTTGTGGAATGGAAATGTTCCATGAATGTTAAAGATTCTACATGGAACTATGGATGCCAATAAAGAACATTTTTAACCATCTGGTGACATTTTATGTTCTGAATTTGTACAATTTTTTACTTCATCTCAATGGTACGAAACTTTTGGTATGACTTTTGTGGCACTTGCTATATGTACACAAATCAGATGATTAGAAAATTCTAAATTAAGTAGTCTTTGATAATGTCTAAATATATATCCAAATGCAAAACGTAATAAAAGTAATTATGTCTGAAAAAATATATTCCTAAAATTTGTAGTATTTTATAGAATTAAATGTTGCTTAATTAAAATACAAAATATATAAAATTAAATATTATTGAAAGAAATAAAGTATTACTTTCATCTTTAAACACAAATTTCTATATAAAATTTCATATATAAAATTATATTATGTACTGTTAATAATTAAACAAGTGGTTTTAGTGTAGTGAGTGTTAATGTCAACATTTTGTTAAAACATTAACTTGTACAATGTAGAAAATTCAACAAGTTTTCAAATAGACTGACTGTTTAAATTGGCTTTATGTGTAAAAGAAATTAAAAGAGCTTTAGAGGAATACTGTTAGAATAATATTACGCAAGGTTTTGCAGCCTAATGTGGATTTCCTTACGTTCTTATTCCTGTAGCCAGATGCAGCTGTAACAACATTCCACACTCTTTCATTTGTTAACTTTGGAATTTGAGGCTAATGATTTAAAAGCTCTTAATATGTTTTTTCAGACAATTTTTGAAATCTTGCATTAGACCAATTATTTATTCAGTTCCTCACGTCTTTTTATTGAAAAGCAATTTATATCTGCAAGTCACATTTGTCCTACCTCTACAAAATCTTCCAAATTGCTGTCGCAATTATGGTCTTTATAGTTAACTGTTGTTATTTTTAAACATAACAACATTAATATCACCCTCCTAATGCAACATAATGATTTTCAGTGGCCTGATAGTCAGTGAAAGACTAGAAGGGGAGGAAACTCAGAACAGAGAGGGGTTTGTCTACCTAAAAGATCTCGCATCATTAAGTGTGTCCAGGGGAAGCAAGTGGGCTGCTTCAACCCTTCGTAAATGAGCTGCATGCCATGAAGGGAATCCCATATTAAGCTGAGGTCCAGGCACAATGAGATCATTGTCACATGTGACAGACTGGACTAAATAAGCAGCGCTGCTTCGCCACCTTTAAGAGATCAGATGGGTTTTCTATGCTGATATTGTTAAAGAGGCGAGTGCGTGACCTTTAATCAAAGATGATGACCCCTAATAAAAGGCAAACATGTCAAAGTATCTCTTTAACATGGCATTATAATTTCAGAGCCAACACAAAGCCTGCATTCATGACATTTCTTGTATCTAAGGCTATGTATGAATATCCCTTCATTTATTCTATGTTAGAGATCATTGCAAATCTGAAAGCTTCATTTCGACATGGACATCACTGAAAATAATTATAACAATCAGTTTAGTGAGTCAGATGTTGATTCAGTAGCCGCTCAATGAGGGACTGTCAGACTGAATCCTATTAAAGCGGTTAGTTGCTTTTTGAATTATTCAATTAAAAGAATCAGCTCACAAGAGTAATTCATTCAGGAATCAGACTATACTGGTTGTGCTGCATGTTTTTCACTCAATAAAAAGAACCAGCTCAAGAGAGTAATTTGTTCATGAATCAGGATACACTTGTTGCGATGTGCATTTCTGATTCACTAAAAAGGGTCATTCGGACTACACAGGTTGCACTGTACAATTGTAGTTCACTTATTCAGTAAATAGAACCATTAGTTCAGGAATCAGACTACACTTACAATTTTGATTCATTTAAAAGAACAGGCTCGTAAGGTGAATCAGACTACACTGGAGACGATGTACAACTTAGAGTCACTAAAAATGACTTGCTCACAAGAGTCATTTGTCCAGGAATCAGACTACATTGGTTGCACTGTATAATTTTGATTCACTTAAAAGAACAGGCTGATAAGGGTCATTTGTTCATGAATCAGACTATGTTGCTGCATGTTGCTGATTCACTAAAAAGAACTGGTTCATAAGAGTTACTTGTTTAGTGAATTGAGCTGGCTCACATTGTATGTTGTTTTTGCATTTAGTCTGTGAAGACATCATATCACTACTGATTTATTTTGCTGTGGTGCTAAATATTGCTGTACTATTCCAGCAGTATGTATGCACTGCATGCAATACATTTGCCAAAATGTACCATATACAACAGAGCTCACCTGTGATGAGGTCATGTGACAACAATGTAGCATGCTAATATTTGAAATTTTTATTGTACTATAATGCCTACAATTAATAAATAATATCAAAGCCCTTAAAATAAAGGTTCCAAAAAGGGATTCTCACAGAAGAACCAAAGAAGATCAATTTATATATGGTTCTTCTATGGTTCTTCTAAGAACTATTCACCCCATAGAACCGTTCAGTGAATAAAGATTCCATGAATGTTAAAGGTTCTCTGTGGGACCATAGTTGACAATAAAGTACATTTATTTTTAAGGGTGGCAGTACACAGTAAATAGTAAGCTAGTATTCCATTCCAAACAGTGCATATGAAAGAGGAACCCAACCATGACAACCAAGATCAGCCTACGCCAAACGCATTTGGAAATGACCTGGAAAGCGGTGTTCTTGTTAGATCTGATGAGGGAAAGGAATGAAAACAGGGGGAGGTTGACAGACCGTTTCCCTTTTTAAATCTCCCACCTGTCCGCCGAAATGCTAACCTTGTGTGTGGCTGTCACCACCCGTCCTGCAACTCTGGGTGAGACTTGAATGTGTGATCCTTCTTTGATCATCCAAAGAAGAGTCGATGGAGTTGTCAGGAATGTTCTCCCACATCATGTCTTGCATAAAGCACAAGGACTCAAAAAGCCCTTTGTGTCAAATTCTGGCTTTGCCTGCTTCTTCTGTTTCTTCATCATAGATCTAAAGTCTCAATGTTCTTGTAACACTCCTGTCTTTCTCTCCGAGTCTGTCTCCACAGGCTTATCTTTCATCCTGTCTCAGTGGCTCATAAAATAAATGTTGTTTTCAAATTAACACTCTCCCCCTCTTCCTTCCCCCATTTGATTTCTTTCCTGCATGTAAATAACCCTCCGCAGTCTTTATGAACAGTCTGGCTTCTTTGTTTTCTGTAGATGTCTGAACATGCCTGAACATTGCAGCTTCCACCTGAATCAAGAGGTCTTGATGACTAAAGCCATAGTCAGGGTCATCTAACAAAGATCAGCCAGTGTTTAAACAGCAAACCTGCCCTTATCGCCCCACAGTTGCCCACATCTATAATCCCAAGAGCTGATTGGATGGAGGTGCGCTAGAGAGGAATGTAGATGGTATTTTGATCCTGGGGTGACATACCAAAGTAGCTCTCAGAAGCAAAACACTGGGACATTCCTGCAGGAACACGCCTGTCTACCTGTCAGGAAAGAGGGCAAAGAAAGTTGAGGAAGGGGTTTTTGGTTCATGTGCAGTTGTTGTTGAGCTGTAAAGTAGGTCATGTTATTGTCAAGTGCCCTCTTGGGATGTGGCCAGACATGAACTTAGGGTCTTAAATATCTAAAAGGACTTAAAGAACTTAAAGTTGAACTTTTTTACATAAGTAAATTATCCTCAGTTTGAATTTAATGCAGTGCTGTTTAATTTCTGTTCACTTTAAATCAAGTGAGTTTACCTTATCTAAATACACTATAATTCAAAAGTTTGGGGTTAGTAAGATTAAAAAAATATATATATTATTACTTTTATTAAACAAGGTTGCATTCGATTGCTCGAAAGTGACAAAAATACATATTTATAAAGTTACAAAATATTCTATTTCAAATCAATTGTTTTATTAAATTGTTTTTAATTATTTTAAATTGTAATAATATTATAATATTTATATAATACCTATTTTTGATTAAATAATTGCAGCCTTGGTAAGCAAAATATGCTTCGTTCAAAAGCATTAAAAAAAAACTTTTTAAAAATAGTGCACTTAAGCAGGCCTAAAAAGTTGTACATATTTCCCATTCCTTGTGTGTTTGTTTAGTAAATGTTTTATCACATATCTTAGGGCAGTGCTAAATAAAATAAATAAATAAAATGTTTTTATGATCACTTTTAAATATAAAACTTACAGATTCCGAGTGTATAAACGTACGAGCATAACTGCACTGCTAACATTCAATTCAATTCACGATACAAATTAAGTTTCTACAATATTTAGTGGTAGCTTATCAGTGGTGACTGTCAGTTAATGTACATATGGCAGAAATGTAAGTTGCCCACATCTATAATCCCAAGAGCTGATTGGATGGAGGTGCGCTAGAGAGGAATGTAGATGGTATTTTGATCCTGGGGTGACATACCAAAGTAGCTCTCAGAAGCAAAACACTGGGACATTCCTGCAGGAACACGCCTGTCTACCTGTCAGGAAAGAGGGCAAAGAAAGTTGAGGAAGGGGTTTTTGGTTCATGTGCAGTTGTTGTTGAGCTGTAAAGTAGGTCATGTTATTGTCAAGTGCCCTCTTGGGATGTGGCCAGACATGAACTTAGGGTCTTAAATATCTAAAAGGACTTAAAGAACTTAAAGTTGAACTTTTTTACATAAGTAAATTATCCTCAGTTTGAATTTAATGCAGTGCTGTTTAATTTCTGTTCACTTTAAATCAAGTGAGTTTACCTTATCTAAATACACTATAATTCAAAAGTTTGGGGTTAGTAAGATTAAAAAAATATATATATTATTACTTTTATTAAACAAGGTTGCATTCGATTGCTCGAAAGTGACAAAAATACATATTTATAAAGTTACAAAATATTCTATTTCAAATCAATTGTTTTATTAAATTGTTTTTAATTATTTTAAATTGTAATAATATTATAATATTTATATAATACCTATTTTTGATTAAATAATTGCAGCCTTGGTAAGCAAAATATGCTTCGTTCAAAAGCATTAAAAAAAAACTTTTTAAAAATAGTGCACTTAAGCAGGCCTAAAAAGTTGTACATATTTCCCATTCCTTGTGTGTTTGTTTAGTAAATGTTTTATCACATATCTTAGGGCAGTGCTAAATAAAATAAATAAATAAAATGTTTTTATGATCACTTTTAAATATAAAACTTACAGATTCCGAGTGTATAAACGTACGAGCATAACTGCACTGCTAACATTCAATTCAATTCACGATACAAATTAAGTTTCTACAATATTTAGTGGTAGCTTATCAGTGGTGACTGTCAGTTAATGTACATATGGCAGAAATGTACGGAAAAATCAATTAAAGACAATCAAACAGATGATGAACACTATTAACAGCAATTATTATATGATGCAATCAAACTTATAGCAAAATGTGGTAGTTTATGTTGTTTCAGGGTTGGCATCATCTGAGGTCCTCTGAGGGGTTGGCATCAACATGTTACTATCATGGCAAACAGTAGTATAGAATCATGGTTGTAGGTGCACTCTGATTGGACCCTGGCGTGTGGATTGGAAACGAGGGTGTTTGAACAGCAGTGACCTCATTCAGGAAGTCAGTTTTGTATCTGAGGAAACGGGAACAGCATGAGGCGGTAATGGTCAGATGGCACATGCAATTCCTGCTTTCAGGTCTGGAGAACCCAAAAAAAGTATGTGGACACTCAAGAAACACTTAACACAAAAAGGTCCTAAATTGAGTCAAACTGACTTCACTAAAAATCATATTGGAACTAGTTCTGCAGTCCAACAGCATTTAGCATTTGTAACCACATTGTTTGATATTTTGGGTTTCTAATGCAATTAAATTATTAGAGTTTAACTCTAGAGTCTTAAGTGTCCAAATACTTTTCGCTACATCTCTCTCTATGTATATGTATGAATCTGAGCAGGGTCAGCAGAAATGTACATAAGCCCCTCTCTATGGTAACTGCAAATCTGGGATGGCAGGACCAAAGCAAAGGCCATTTCTCACCATATCTCCATTGGCATGGTATACCAAACACTCCCAGTGACTTGTGGGAAATAATAGGCATGGAACATTCCTGCCTTTTCCTCCCACATTCCTGTTTTTTGCTCCTTTGGGATCGTTTTCACACACATTCCAACCTATGTTACGTGTGGCTGCTGGATTAGATTGTATGTTCGCTCTGATGTTTATGGCCCTCAGGGGCTTGATTGTGAGTGTCTTTGCTGTACCTATCTTGTTACTGGAGTGCCATTAAACATAATAGCTTTTTTCTTATCTGTATTCACTCAATGGTGTTCAAGCTAGAACTGATAGATAACCAGCAATTGTTTGCTAATGTTGGCTTTACATGATCTAACCCATCATGTTGGAGTAAATATTAAAGTATAATTTTCTAAACATCATAGTCATAGTGGAAGGACAATTGATTAGAACTTATTAGGGTTATTTTAAGGGGTTAGTTAACTCTAAAATTGTATTCTTGTCGTTATTTACTTTACCTTCATGCTTTTCCATACTTTTAAAGTATTCATTCTGGAACACAAAAGAAGGAATTCAATGTTCTTTCTGCTCTTTTCCATACAATGAATGCTGAAGGTTGACAGGCACTGTTTGTCTCTAAAAAAAAAAAAAAAAGCACAATATAAAATAGAATTTAAAAATGTATCAAAGTACTCATGCACTGTATTGCAGGTGTTGTGAATCCACAAATTTATCTCATTATTTACAAAAAAATATTAAAGGCATTTATAATGTTACAAAAGATTTCCACTTCAAATAAATTGTTGTTAAAGAATCCTGAAAAAATGTAGCACAGTTTCCACAAAAATATTTAGCAGAACACCAAATTTAAACTGATAATATTATGAAATTTTTTGAGTGCCAAATCAGCATATTAGAATGATTCTGAAGGATCATGTGATACTGAATACTAGAGTAATGGCTGCTAAAAAATCATATTTGCCATCAGAGAAATAAATTACATTTTAAAATATATTGAAATAGAAAACAGTTATTTAAATGGAAATAATATTTCACAATTTTACTGCTTTTACTGTATTTTTGATCAAATAAATGCAGCCTTGGTGAGCGTAAGAGACTTCTTTCAAAAACCTTACAAAATCTTACCAGCTAAATTTGTATTTGTGCTCTACTTAAGAAACAGTGAAAATAAGTGAATAAAAATGTTAGAATAATTTTAATTCTAAGTTAAATATTTCGGTTAAGTACATGTCATATTTTCTGAGAAGTTAAGTCTGTAAAGCCCTTTGATGATTATACAACAAGTATGTATATGTTTAAACATATCAGCTCTTTGTTCTTCTTGTGTGGTACAGGATACAGAGCCAAACTCCCCGGCGAGTGTCCTCGAACTAGAGTCAGATCAGAGCCTCGGTTCTCCTAAGGTTAGTGGGCCATTTGTTCTTCTGTTCTTTGAGGTAGGAACTATTAATGAGCTGTAATGCACTGTTTCAGAGTCCACCACTGGACCTGATTGACACAGGAAAAGGACTGAAGGTACAAACTGCGACCCCTCACCTGGTCAGCCTGGGCAGTGGAAGACTCAGTGTAGCCATAACCCTACTACCTCTAAAGGAGGGTATGTGCTTTTTTTTCTCTCGGTTTGAGTCTGTCTATCTATCTCCCGATCTCCCTCCCTCACACACAAACCCAAATAACCATGAACAATAGCCTGCAAAGAATAGATCTGTAAATAAGCCCCTCTATCTGTGTGTGCCTTCATGAAACAGTGGATGCATGTGGCTTTTATTGTTAGTGCACTTAGGTTATCATAGAGGAAGAGGGTGGAAGGATGGGATGTAAAGCCGGAACCCGGTGCATCTTATTTAATCTTTACCTTAAAGGGGTCATATGATGCTGCTAAAAAGAACATTATTTTGTGTATTTGGTGTAATTAAATGTGTTTATGCGGTTTAAGGTTAAAAAACACATTATTTTCCACATACTGTACATTATTGTTTCTCCTCTATGCCCCGCCTTTCTGAAACGCGTCGATTTTTACAAAGCTCATCGGTCTGAAAAAGTGAGGTGTGCCCTGATTGGCCAGCTATCCAGTGCGTTGTGATTGGCCGAATTCCTCAAGCGTATGACGGAAATGCTACACCCCTTACCATATTGTGATGCCTGCGGCAACCACATGTGACGTATCGTCCTCTTTTGGAAGGCCAAACAAAGTAGTTTCGCTTTCACAACAAAACACAGTGCCTTCAAGACATGGTGGCGGCGGCAACAATACTACAGCGAGAATAAAAGTTACGCCTTCTTTCTTTGGGTGAACATTTGGGCGGCGTTATGCAAATCTTCCCAGATAGTGACGTAGGTATGTGGGGGCGTGTTAGAACGAGCCGTTTTAGGTAGGTGTGGCTGACTCTTAACTTTTATTAAGAATATCTCTTTGGATTTGAGACTTTAGTCTTTGCAACTTTACAGATCTTCTTTATGCACCAAGAGCTTGTACTCCAAAGAGAAAGGAAAAATTGAAATCGCATCATATGACCCCTTTAAAGAAGCAATAAGAAGGGTCCACCTGTCTCTGATTACACACAGGTGTCAGACTTGTTCTGATGACACCACGTCTGTGCATATGGCCCTTGCTCATTCCTCGCCCCTCTTATCACGGTCACCATGGTAAATGCTGGAATGCAATCTGAGAATGGTGCAGGAAATGAAGTGTGCAACCTATCAGAATAGAGACAGGACAAGGAGTCAAGCTGACTTCCTCCCAGTGGGACGGAGTAATAAAGTCACAAGTATTACAGTACCGCCATAGTACTGAACACACACAAAGACTGATTTAAACTTGCTATTTCAAGGCAGTCTAATTATGTTTTGATATAAAAAGAGCAAATATTTGACCATATCCGTTAGTAATAGACTGTGAGGTGTTGAAGTAAAGCTGTAAGGGGGTGATTTGCGTCACTGGTTGAGTGTGCGAGCCAGCAGAGGCCAGAGAAGAGTGGGAATGTAAAACAGAAACACACACGCCATTCCTTGGAACAGTTACATCTCCATGCCAGCAACAAGTCTCCAAACTGTGACTAAAATTGGCAAAAATTAAGGAGAAAAAAAAAACAATTAAAAAAACAATTTATGATCATTTTAAATCATTTTGTCACTGGCGACAATCCAGATGACTTTGGATGCATTTTTGTCAAATGTCAAGAGCGCAAACAAGGGTTTCCTGCATTCAACAAACACACAAGCGTGAGCCGTAGAGTCCAATTCACGAAGAAATTACTCCTATGAACTGATTCTTTTGAATCAGTCATAAAAAAAAACCTCATAGGGTAAAATCATTCAGAAGCATTTCTTCACAAGTAACAAATAGTTCACAAATGACTCCCTAACTGAGTCATTTTATAGTTATGTCTGATTCAAAATGAACTGTTGCTGTGATAGATTTGAGTCCATTTACTGACTGGTTGTTCATATGACACCATGTAATTAAAAATATATATTCACAACACAGTTTTATTGAAATTATTATGAAGAATTATTTAATTATTATTAGAAATTAACTGTAAAAAATGTATTGAAATAAAAAATATTCAAATAGTATTGGTTATTTTTTGTATAGTATATTGATGTGAACGTTTTTGTAGGACTGAGTACCATGAATACCATTTCAAACTAAATTTATACTAAATATACCCCAAATAAACCCTTAGAATATTTGTCCTTAATAATATTTAGTCTGGAGCCCTAGTCACGGTTTACCTTAACATTGCTTGTAAATCACCGACAACGCTAAAAGCCTACTTCAAGTGTACATTTTCATCAAAATTCAATTTAAAAAAGCCCCCAGGGGGTAAAAATGTAAAGCCTCAGAGTTGGTGAGAATTTTTTGGCACTGAATAAACCTTACGGCTGAACTAACAGCAGCACAATATGCAGGATTTATGGATGAACTGATTAAATATAGATAACCACACTGCAGACATATGTATTTACAGTCTTACATTTCTTGCAGTCAACATTAATTTAAATCAAACTCACAGTGGCACTGAAAGCTTGCACTTACACTACAGTTACAAACTGAATTGCTTTTTATTACAGGAATAACACGCATAGGCCGTGACGATGCCCCTGTACCTCAGGACATTGCTATTGAGGGTGCCGGCATTGAAGCAGAACACTGCAGGATTGAGAACAGAGGAGGGGTCGTCACTCTTGACCCATGCGGGCACCTGTGTTCACTTGATGGAGTTCCTGTTACCAGGCCCACACTACTCACGCAAGGTAACCACAATATGAAAGTGAAAGTCAAGTGTGGCCAAGTATGGTGACTCATACTCTGAATTTGTGCTCTGCATTTAACCCATCCAAGTGCACACACAGTAGTGAACACAGGCCCGGTTCTACGGGGGTGCTAGAGCACCCTCAAAAATCTGTATTAATGGGATTTGATTGAATATTTGGCAAACTATCCAGTGAGTTATAGTTTGCGCTCTGGAGATCGATTTCTATGTCAATGTGTTTTTGCAGCATTGAGCAATGTAGCCAATCACGGACAAATCTGTTGATTTCTTAAATCAGAGGCATTTTAAGTATGAATCCACTCACCGCTGAAATCGCCAGAGTTTTTGTTCCGGTATTGTGTTTAGCACAAATCATCTCATTATAATAATTGTGCAGCATAGAAAATATATATATGTATATAGGTGTCCGTTGCTATGGCGCAAAGAGCGCTCATAATCACTAAAACACTGTCACTCATCTTAGTTCACATACATACATACATATATATATATATATATATACAGTGTTGGGAAGGTTACTTTGGAAATGTAATAGGTTACAGATTACAAGTTACCCTACTTGAAATGTAATAAGTAGTGTAACTTTTCAATTACTTTATTAAAGTAATGTAGCTGATTACATTTGTTTACTTTTTGATTACTTTTCTAAATTTCTAATGTTTTCAACTGTTAATTATTTTCAAACATTTAAAGCATGCAGTGTTAGCCTTACAGTAGTGCTCAACTGATTAATGTCAGACTTTCAAATCCTTCATCACTTGAATTAAGATGATAAATTACTGAATTTTAAAGCACAGCCACCACAAAATCAGACTTTGAGATCGTTCTAAGGCAAAATACATATTTAAAATCATAACAAGAAATAGTTTAATAGCTATGATACTGTTTTTGAAATCAAATTTTTGCAT